GTGGATAAGTCAAACTACTTGGGATTCATTCAGTTAAACTATTAATTCCCCTTGGTGGTTTGCAGGAATCATATCTAGGTAGAAGGATACCATGTGGTCAGTTGGGGTGAGCTGAATGTAACTTCTGCAAGATCCACCTTCATAGAAGGTGAACCTAAAAGGTGACTAAGAAATGCCTCTTGGAAGTGCTGCTGTATGTCTGCACGTTGATTTTCTTTTTCATTTTAAACAGTTTTATTGTCCACTAGGAAAAAAAAGCAATGACTACAAATCCAATGAGGTAAAGTAGCTAGGAAGGGTAGCTAGAAAGGCCAATGGGATGCTAAGGCCGCACTTGCTCTTTCACATTTTAACACTTTCATGCTCTTTGTCTTAAAAACAACTCTGGGCAAAAGAGCCCAAAGATGGAGAAGGAAAATAATGGGAAACAAGAGATGGATGTTAGACTGCATCAGACAGAAGAAATAGCTCACATGGCCAAGAAACTGATGTCACACAGAAATGACATAGTGAATAGCTGCTGCAGGTTTTCTCCTTGCAGGCCCCGGTTCTACATCTCCATTCAGTACTGCCCTAGGAAGAGAGATGCAAAAATAAAGCTCAAATATCTCCACAATGGTAAAGGTCCCCCCCACACACACCTCTCTCTGTATCCGACTCTTTGAAGAGCTGTCAAGCCACTTAATCCATTGTAGCGCTGTCTGTCCTGGGAGACGGAGGTGATTTCTACTGCTGGTAGCAAAATGTCCAGCACTACAAAGGTGCTTGTAGGAGCAAAGCTCTTTGTAAATCAATCAAAAAAAAAAAAAAAATTAAGACTGTTAAGTTGGCTAACCCTGGTAGTACACCAGAGTTATGGATTTCTTCTTCTCCCTTGAAGACATTTTGTTGCTCTTCAGGAATAAACACTGCTGAATAACCATGACTTTATATAAATAATACACTCCCTCCTACAAGCTGCATGAGATGTTAAAACTCCAGAATGGACTATAAACGGATGCATAAATCTTTAGGATCCATGCATTTCAATCCATCTATTTAAAAAGGATCACAGTATTTATTCGCATTTTCCATGCCCTTTGTGCATTTTTTCTGACATCAATTTCATGTGTGGAGCAGCGCAGAATAGCGTTCCAGTGTATATTGCAATACTTTGTTCTGTTTCTTGGCATGTGCCAGCGCATTCAGTTGAAAGTAAAGCGTAACACAAGACAGCTTTTTTGGCATAACAGGTCACCAAAGTACTGGAATGTTTCAGTCAAAACTCAAAGTGTGAGACACATTGCTGAAAGGCAAGTCGTCTTTCAGGAAAAGCTGAGACCTTTCATCTTTATACATGAGGAGTCTTGCTCTAAAGCAGTTAATTACAATGAAAAATACGGCACACTTTTCTCGTAACTGGCCATGAATTGTACTTGGATTACACACTAGTTCAAGTGAAGAATAAGAGCCATATTTCTCTCACAAGTAAGGGGAAAAAAAGTCTGACAGTATGTAGATGAATGTGATCTACTCGTTGTTTATAGACCCAAAGGATCCCTCAGAGCATTAAAAATCCATGTGATATCCAAGAGTGGTATACTTTGCATTGAGATACGTGATTCAGCTGAAAGCCGTATAAAATCTGTAAAATTGCATGTAGTGAGAGAGTACCCTACCGCCTGTGCATTTGAGCAAAGCCACGTGTTCTTTTCCTGCTGCACACATGAAGAATAGTTGATCAAAAAATCTGCTCGAGATTCACAAACTTCTCACAGGAACATGTGCGTAGGCTAAGTCTGCCAACTTTTGGTCAAACCTGGGCTGAAAATACACAGGCCTGAAATAAGCATTGTTCTTCCGTGGCAGGGGGAACTCCAGCTTCACGCACAGCAAGTCCATACAGGTTGCGTGTCCTTTGCTGGTCTTGTGCTGGAATGGGCAGCATCCTTTCCTTCTGGGCGGGGTCCTCTAACTGGCAACTGGGCTCCCAAGCCTTTTCTGGTGGGGTCTTTGGAATTGGACCTACTCTTTTGTCAAGAGGAATTGCCATTGAAAAAGGTGACCCCTAACACTCCTTTCTTTTTAGAAAGGTTAGGCTAGGACCTTATTTGATCAACTCTCTTGTAGATTAAATAGATTTTTTCACTCTTTTTTTCTAGGAACTAACACCTAGTGGTGGTATCTTGCAGTAGCTCACACACGTGGTATAGCTCTCATTCTCTCAAGAATTGCGCAGAGTGGATTTTTTCTTAAATTCTGTACACGTGTGTTTCATAAACATGTGGCAATATGGTGTAAGCGGTGAAGAGGCTAACTCAAATGTCCCTTGCACATTTGGTGGGATTTTTCTTAGCAGTTGTGGAAACTTATACTGTACTTCTGGTGCTGACTCAAGGAAAATGTTGTTGATGAATATTAGCTGGACTGTAAGAAGCCTTTTTTTGTTGGTATTCTTGACCAAGGTCACCTTCCTAGGGCCTTTAGAGACATCAGACACAGGCCGTGAAGCGTTTGAAAGATAAGGATCCACAAACTCAGCTTTATAGTCTTTGGGTAGACTGAGCAGAAAGAGAACGGGTGTTGTGTACCGGTGGCTTGTTATTGCTGAGGAGGTTTTGCTACACTCATCTGTACCAGTTGGCTTCTCCCAAGTTCTGGGAAACTTTTGGGAAACTGCAGGCTTCCAAGAGCAGCACAGCCAAGATATGATACAAAGTGTGAATAACTGAGGTTGCATAATTCGTCGCTCGTACACCATCTCCTAGCCAAGCACAGCGACAGAAGGCATTACTCACAGACGTGGCTACGTGGGACTGGGATCAGGCATAGCCTGGCCTCAGCTGCTGGCTACTGCTGCCCAGCCCCAGCTAAAGGCAAGCAGTTCACAGCCAGGACAGACCCTGCCCTCACACTGAGACCACCAGAACACTTGAAACATCCCAGCCAGCTGCTTTTCATCTGGGAGCTGATCTCCTCAGAGCCCTGGTACGTGTGGTGTGAACATGCGTATTAGGTAAAACTGTATCAGTATCAGCTGCCCTTGAGGCCCATCATCTGCCTGTTTCATGTAGTATAAGCATCTCAAAACTGCGTAGCCCTCAGAAAAGCTGCAGAAATAATGGGCTTAATACTCAACATGTAGTCTCTCCTTGTCACGTACTAGAAGGGCCCTTCAAGAAGGCTTCAGATCGCTTCTGCTACTTATCTGGCACTGGAGCCAAACACATAAAACCACAAGGAACCGTACCAATGGCTGTTGGTCTTTGGTAATTGGTTTGGACATGAAGAATGGGGAGCCAGGGCACGTGCGTTGTGACCTCAATATCTCACTGTGAAGACGCTGGTCACAATTTGTACATCACACTAGCACAACGCTGCCTGCATGGTAGTGAACCCATCACATGGTTTACAAGTAGTAGTGTTTGTGTAGCGGTGAGATGGGATGTGAACATCGAGGAGTGTAAGAATGCAGGTGTCAACTAGCCTAAGTGTTGAAGTATAGCCGTAAATAACATGTTAGCAAGAGATTGTGTGTCGGATTAATAGGGCAGAAGAATGTATGCTTTGGAGCTAGGAACTACATGAAATCAGTCTCTATAGAATTCAAAAGAAATTGCTAGAGGGGGTAATGGAGAAATGGGGCTCGTGGGTCTAGCTGTCCCTTTTGGAACACTGACAGATGTATTTTTATCATAAAGATGTTTTTATAAGTAAAGTTTTCATATCAACAAGGAAAATCTTTTTAAGGAAAATACTAATGCTAGTCACAGTGAAAACCATAATACTGTGCCTTAAGCAGATTGCCCTTCAGACAGTTTCAGGTTCATAGTTCAAGCATCATGTTGCGACAATTACAGGACCTCTGGTGGAGCTTCTATTTTCCAGAGTCAGAAAACAAGTACAAAAATAGAGGGGCTCCTTTGTCTCCCCAGGCAGCGCCAGTTGCTTGAGTGGGTGAAAATAAAGCAGGGTAAATGTAAGTCAGAACCGTGTGCCTGATACTCGGTCGCTGCGGTGTTATACAGCACTCTGGGGAGAACACGGGCCATAGCCGGGCTTCTGCTGCTGTATTTAATGATACTCTGTGAATGCCGGATACACTTGCGGCATCATCTTGGGTGTGAGTTATAGTGACAGGAGAAACTGATCAGAGAGGGCCTGGCTGCGAGACTGGGAGAGGCTGGCCGAACAGTTTCATTCCCTGTATGGTCTGGTTAATCTGGGCTCTAAATAGGGAGGCCGGTGGTGTCTTTACGATCTGTAGCTATGTGGAAATTATGGGGGTTTGGGGTGGAAGTAGGGAAGAGGGTGGAAGAAAAGAAGAAGAAGAGATGGAGAATAGAAACTGTGGGCCATGGCAATTGCAGCCAGGGGCAAACAGAGCAGCAAGACCACATAGAGGAACCAGGAAACTGGGAAGAAGAAACAAAGGGGGGAGCAAGGAGAAAGGAAAAGAGGGCAGGACGTTCCCCTGGTGAGGCTGTGTGACTGTGGTACCTGGACATCCAGGGCATTTTTTATTTTTAAGCACCTCAGCGATCAGCCAAGCAGAGCTAAGTTTCAGCAAGCAACAAAAAATGAATATGAGAAAGAAGAAACCAGTTTAAAAGGAAGAGGTGAGAGGGGAAATGGAAAGAATATGATAATAAATGGAATAACAGAATGGCACGGGAAAAGTGAAATAAAGAGCTAAAGGGAAAGAAAAAAATTGATCTGGCACCTGGTGCTCAGCTGGCAGATGCTCTGTAAGCCCACAGAAGATGAAGGATAAGATTCAGTGCAACCACTAGCAGGCAGTAAAAATTAGCATTTCCTTTCTGGTAGGTGCTGCTTAGGGCTTGATTAGTCAATAGGAAACAGTAGGCACAGGGATTTGTGTGGATCTTCATCAGAGCCTCAGCACATATTGGAATGTGCAAAATGATACTCTTGATTGTAGCAAAGGCTTTTGGACTACAGGTGGGTAGATGAGGTCAATACAGATAGCAGCAGGTGGGCAGAGCAGGCAGCAGGCGTAGATGTACGGGGCAGAAGAGGGAGAGAAGAAAACTCATCTTCTAGCTTCTGGAGAAGCTGGAGAGGAATTGTACGAGCATAAAATAGTCCTCGGCTCCCGCATACAGAGCCCCCACGTGAAGGGATACAAAGCAGCAGTACTGTTGTATGGATTCGTGTAGACCCCTCAAAGTGTGGTTGCATGAAATACGTCAGCCAGTATTTTTAAAGAGCGAGTCCTAAGTCTTCAGCTGGGGGGTCGGAAAGGAAGCTATGCTTCTGGGAAAAGCAAACTTCCAGCAGGGCTTCCTCGCACTCATTCGGGGGTCTCCAGGCCCGCGGGGAAACCGTGCCTAATCCCGCCCGCGGCGGCCGCCCCCG